TGCTAACACACTTGAAAATATTTGTGAAAAACATGCTAACATACGTGCACAAGGCGAAACACTTGGTGGTTAGCATATTTGAGCAATGGTGGAGAAGTTGGTGAAGTCGAGGGGCTGTTTTCCCTCGACCGGACTCGGGCCGGGCATCCGGTTAGTTGGTGCCGAGGCAACGGTGCTTAGAGTGTTGCATCGGACGCTGAATAGTGTTTGTGACCTGACGCGACAGAGGTGCATCCGGTCAATGCTGACGTACGCTGACATTGGGCTAACTTCATGGGCGAGAGAGAATGGACGCTGAGGCACGTCCGGTCACACATGATCGGATGGTCCGGTCAGCAAAATCCCTCTCTGGACCCTTACTGGAAGTGACCTAACGTTGAGAAGCCGCGGGGAGTAGCACGTCCGGGCAGTGCTTTGTGGCTTGGGCACACGCGCGGGCTAACTGTGCACCAGCGTGTCCGGTCTTGTTGATCGCCGCATCCGGTCCTATCTTAACCGTTGGGCGCACTGTGACTAGCCGTTGGAGATCAGCGACTCTCGTTTGAAGGAGGTGACACGTGGCACAGATCCAGTGACCGGACGCTAGTAAGCGTGGGTCCGGTCACGATTTGTGCACAACGACTCTTTTCGAAGGGGCTCCCTATTTAAGGTGTTAGGCCGGCTCTAGCTCATTCTCTTAGCCATTTGCATTGACATAGCAACCTTGTGAGCTTAGCCAAAGCCCTCCCACTCATCTCCATCATAGATTCATCATCTTTGTGAGATTGGGAGTGAATCTAAGCACATTGCTCGGTGATTGCATCTAGAGGCACTTGGTGATTGCGTTTCGCTTCGGGATTCTCTTGTTTCTCTTGGTGGTTGCCGCCACCTAGACGGCTTGGTGCAGTGAGTATCGTCGAGCGGAGGAATGTGATTGTCTCCGGCTCCGATCGTAGTGATTGTGAGGGGTTCTTGACCTTTCTCGAGCGGAGAGGCAAAATGTACTCTAGTGGATTGCTCATGGCTTGTGTGATCCCCTTCTTGTGTTGGTTATCATGGCACCCGATTGCGGGTTAGGCGTGCGATGCCTATTAGCGCGTGAACTTTTAAATGGGTGTATCGCCACAATGGGGACTAGCTTGCCGGCAAGTAAGTGAACCTCAGTAAAAAAATCATTGTGTCATCTTGTCACCGGGATTTCATTGGTATTCATTGTGATTGTTTGATTGATCATCGCTTGCCACGTCGGTATAACTTCACTACCTCACTCTTGTATTTACATTCCTAATTTAGTTAAACTTTTTAGTGTAATTAGTTTTGAGAGCTAGCTCGTGTCTTATCTAGTGATTAGTGTGGCTCTTTAGTTAGTCTTTGAGAGCACACTAACTTAGTGGTAGTGACATAGCCTCTTGTGTGTGAATTATAGATCATAGCAACTAGAATTGTGGATAGGAGGCTTGTATTTTTAGTAGGCTAGCGCAACACTAAACTTACGCCTCATATTTGTCTAACCACTTTGCTTAGTGTTGTTGTACAAATTTTTATAAACTATTCACCCTCTCTCTAGCCATTATGACCTTTCAACACTTCAAGACTAATTGCTCCGTCCCCAAAAACACGTCATTCTAGGATTTTTTAGGACAGATAAATATGAAGGTAAAATGACGACGATTACCTCTATTTATTAGCCATATTTAGTGCTAATTGACTGATGTAGGCCTGCATGCACTTATGCACATACCAAGTGGGGTAAAATGACTTGTTTTTTGAGGTGAATTTTGAACCCTAGAATGACAAGTTTTTTTTGGGACGGAGAGAGTATGTGGGGATGAATGTGGCCTATGGGGTCATTCATATTATGAGTTAGTTATGTGCTAAAAGTTAGATCATTATCGGAAGAGTTGCCTTTAGAGTACTTAGAGCTAGGTACTAACTCTTGGAGGAGGCCTTAGATATGTTAAGGTCGTGTTAGGATCCACTCCGGCTAAATTTTAGCCAGCTAATTTGACTAGCTAAAGTGTAGCCAGCTAAAGTTTAGCTAGGGTTGTTTAATTTGGATCCTCTAGCTAATGGGTGAATATTGACCCTATTGTCCCTTTCTTCCTCCATCCATCCCCATTGCTCCCACTGCGCCAAGCCATCCTCGCGCCCCATCCACACCACCAGTAGCTTCCTCCGCGTGCGTGGCCAGAGGCCTACGGACCACGTCGGAGCAAGTCACGAGCATCAGTGAGGCCCACGCGAGCCCCATCGTGCCATAGCTCCACCTTTCGTCACAGGCGGCCACCGTGTCGTCGATGAGCCCAGGCATCGGTCCTCGCTTTCCCCATCTGGATCTCACAGAGGAGGCGGCAGGCTCCCCACTAGGTGGTGGCGACCCTCCCTTCCTCCCATCGGCACGACGACCCTACACTCCACTCTGATGGCGGCCGTCCGTCCCTGACCCTGATGGCGGCGCTTCCTCCTCCCCTATGGATTCTACCACGATTCCCTCCCTTTCTCCTCAGTGGTGGAGGTGGCAGCAAGCCACCCCCTCTCCCATCGATAGTCACCCCGGTGCCCTCCCTTCCTCCCACTAGCAGCACAAAGATTGTGGTGGGGGAAAAGAGTCACGCTCGGACGCGGATGCGCGGAAGGGAAGAAGCGGGCGGTGGGGGCGCCAATGCGGAAATAATTGATGAGAAATTTGGTCATTAGCTAGTTTTAGTTACCATTAGCTAGGTTGGAACAGCTAATGTGATTAGTTGGTTCCCATTAGCTAGGTTTAGCGGTGGCCTGTAGCCAGCTAAAATTTAGCTGGTGGATCCAAACAGAGCCAAAATCAAACGTATACAGATAGTGGTAAATACCCCTACCCCTAGGAAAAACACAATGAGCACAAAGGTGAAACGTAAGAATCTGTTAAAAAAGAAGCGGTGTCAACCAAGACCTGGGAGGGTGTGCCTCTCTCACCTTATGATCTTTTGTCCCCTTCTTCTTCCCTCCCGTTCTCCTTCCTACGTCTCTCACAAGCCAAACAAATATTACAAGATAAGACCAAATAAATAAGGTCCGTTCAGCACACACAACAATTATCCAAATAAATATTACACCATCTTAATGGACCTCTTTGTGTTTCATGTACCCTATATGTAACCATAGGTAAGATTTGATACCATTATCCTATCCGTCTTAGTTTGAGTACCTGACCCGATCTTGCCCGTTTGGACTGTCTAAAGTGCTAGTGCTAAAGTTTAGCACTTATTAGCACCAATCCCTCAATTAATGTATTTGAGTCTTGGCTAAAGTTTAGTACCACTCATTGGCACTCCTATTTGGATGTATAGCTAAAATTTAGCACTTGGATCCAAATATACTCTTTATACCCACATGTTTACTTATCCATAAGGGTCCGTTGGAACCCATCCCTACGTGTAGGATTGCCATCCCTTACAGCTTAGGTGCATGTGCAGCACGAGAGGAGGGGGAGAGAGAAAAAAACAGAAATGGTATACAACACACATGTGTTTTAGCAAAAAAAAAAACATATGGATTTTTTTTTGTATCTCTCTCCCTCACTCTTTCTCACCAGTGACCACCGGCGGCGGCGGCGGCGACGGATCTGTGATTTGTCCTTCTATAGAAAAAATTTGTGATCTGTGATATGTGAAGGCTGGAGATAGAAGAAGGGTGGAGGCTGTTGGATCTTAATCCTATGGTGCAAAAAAATTCATGTGTTGAAACTGCATAAAACACATAGTTGTGTAGTAGACAGACTAAAAAAAAAGAGAAAGGGATCCAATTCTAAAGATGAGATTTGATGTTTCTAGAAGGGCTTGGATATAAATGTCGCAAAGAGTAAATCCAGCTGGCCCTTTTCCATCCCTCGGGAGATTTGACGACTGAGACTAGCCACGGTGTGGCAATGCTCCCAAATATATGTCATAACCATGCTTCACTCTCATTTAAGCTACAGTGTGGATTGTGCTAATGCCTCAAAATAGCAAGACAAACATCATTTGATTTCTCTCCCCTCGTAACTCTTGTCAGCTCGTCATGTCACTTACAGGTGGGACCATATATTCCCTTTCAAAGCCAGCATCGATGCATCTACTTTCCTCGATGCCAAAGTTTTCGATGCCTGAATTCTCTCCTGCAGTGGGCAAGCATGGAGGCTTAGATGAAAAAAAAGAAACAAGTTTCAAGCATAGGTATTTCACCACGTGTATTTAGATAAGATAGGGGAGTGAGGGGATAATAATAAATAAACCGATTAAAAAAAGAATTAGGCATAGCCCGAGGGCCCGAGGCCCACGAGCCGAGCGCATGGCTCGCTGTTGGGGTTTCACCGGTTCACCTCTCTGGCCCATTCCCCTTCCCGTTCACCTCACTCTCTTCTCCGTCTCTCATGTTCTTTTTTTCCCTTTTTTTCTAACCTTGCTCGACCCTTGCCCCGCCGCCTGGACTCCTCTCCCCCGCGGCCGATCTCCTCCATCCGCTCGCCGCGCCGCAACCCCGGAGAGGAGACTGCGCTCGGTCGAGCACCACCTGAGGCCCAGCGTCCTCGCGACCATCTCCGGCACGGCGTCCGCCCTCTGCAGCCCCGGTGTCCCTGCGACCGTCGCTGCTGTCCTACTTCGCCACTCGCCACTTTGGCCGGCGACGAGCACCACCAGGACACTAGGTATTCCCTCCCCTTGGTCCTCTCCCTTACTGCTGTGCGAGGCTGTGCGCCCAAACCTTAACGTAATTCATAGGTAAAACCGTGCGCCCAAACCCTAACATACCATTCGTAATCGGATCTGAATCTAGTTACAGGTGTGTATGCATGTATTATGCCTACTAACTTCAATTGCTTTGCAAAAATTATTGGGTCCTTTACTGGGTCCGCCCCTGCTGGTTGTAACTTGTAAGCTTCGCAATTTAGGTAATATTTGTTTCCTTTTGGGCAGGGTTCTGAAACTTCTTGCACTCCGAGGACCGAAATTCTGTGAATCAATTGCAAAAGGTGTGGTTATTTGTGCTTTTCGAGGTGTGAAGAAATGGAATGCAACAGGGATGAGGCCCAACGGGCAAAGGATATTGCAAAGAAGAAGTTTGAAGCGAGGGACCTGCAGGGTGCCAAGAAATTCGCTCTCAAAGCTCAAACACTCTTTCCTGATCTTGAAGGCATTGCTCAGATGGTTGCCACCTTTGATATCTATCTTGCTTCGGAGGTGAAGGTTGCTGGGGACAAGGACTGGTACTCTATCCTTTGTGTTGCCACGACAGCAGATGACGAAACAATCAAGAAACGGTACAGGAAGCTGGTTCTTCAGCTCCACCCTGACAAGAACAAGCAAGTCGGTGCTGAGGGTGCTTTCCAGATGGTCCAAGAGGCGTATACGGTGCTAAGCGACAAAACTAAGAGAGCGGTATATGACCAAAAGAGGAATGTAAGGGTATTCCAACAGAGGACAGCTCAATCAAGTAAGGCAAGTGCGCCTCCTGGTGCGTCTGATGGCTTCTATAATTTCGCAGCTAACGCTGCTGCTGCCTCCAAACCGACAGTAAACAAGCGAACAGCAGGACCGGCAGCACCTGCCGTGCGCCCACGCCCACCTCAACCTCCACCACCATCTGGACCCACTCCTGCAGCTTCCTCTGCTACCCCTGCACCTGGGGCAAAACCTCCTACATTTTGGACCTCATGTAACAAATGCAAGATGAACTATGAGTACCTTAGGGTGTATCTGGGCCAGCATCTTCGTTGCCCTAGCTGCCGTGAGCCGTTCCTAGCAAAAGAGGCACCAATACCACCAACTGGGACTGTGATACAGGATTCAAAGATCAGTGGTGTAAATCAAAATGCAAGCACTAACAGAAATATGCAGTGGGGTCCATTTTCAAGGGCTGCTGGTGCAGCTAGTGCCACTGCATCATCTGCTGCTGCTGCTCAAGCTGCTAATGTAGTTCATCAGACGTATGAAAAAGTTAGGAGGGAGAGGGAGGAGGCACAAGCAGCAGCAAGAAAGGAAGAGGCTCTTCGGCGGAAGTACAATCCTCTAAAAAGGCATGCGAGCATGTCAGATGTCTTTAATCCTGGAACAGGTGATGTTGCATCTGGAAAGAAGTTGAAGACTATGGTTAAAGATGCTGGAGTTGGTTCTTCATCTTTCATACAAGGTCCTGGAGCAAATTGTTTTAGAGTGCCCGGTGTGAATATATCTTTTTTCAACCAACATTGGGGCCTATGAGTTTCAAGGCGTCAATGGTGGACCCAATTGGAAACCCAGGCCTCCAATCCACATAAGCTTAGCCAAGGCCACCTCTCAGTTGGATGTTAGGGGTCTTCTGCTGGGAAAAGCGAAAAGTGGGCTGAGAAACAAGCTAACAGAAATTAAAAGTAAAACATCTCAAGTTGCTGCTAGTGGAAAAGCGACCAAGAAACATGTGGTTAATGAAAATGGAAGGGATAATGAAGCTCTCGCACCAGATGATCCTACTACCAATAAAGATGTTCATGTTGATCCAAAAGAAATTGGTTCTAATACTAGCTCAGATGCTGAAAATGAAGATGATGACCCCTTGTCTTATAATGTTCCTGATCCTGATTTCCATGATTTTGACAAGGATCGCAGTGAGGAATGTTTTCAAATTGATCAAATTTGGGCTACATATGATGACGAAGATGGTATGCCTCGTTATTATGCGTTTATTCAGAAAATTTTTTCCTTGAAACCATTCAAGCTCAGAATAAGCTATCTCGAGTCAAGGACAAATAGTGAATTTGGGCCTTTGAATTGGGTTTCTTCTGGCTTCACAAAGTCATGTGGGCATTTCAGGACTGGTAAATATGAAACATGTGATATAGTCAACATGTTTTCACACCAAATGAAATGGGAGAAAGGGCCGCGTGGGGTAATCAAAATTTATCCACAGAAAGGTGACATCTGGGCTATTTATCGGAATTGGTCCCCTGACTGGGATGAAGATACTCCAGATAATGTGCTCCATGCCTATGATGTGGTTGAGGTACTAGATAATTATGATGAAGATCATGGCATCTCTGTTATTCCTTTAGCTAAAGTTGCCGGGTTTCGAACAATATTTGAACGCCATCAGGATCTGAATGGTACCATGAAGATTCCCAAAGAAGAGATGTTTCGGTTTTCACATCAAGTGCCTTTCTACAGGATGTCAGGTGAAGAAGCTCCAAATGTCCCCAAAGATAGCTATGAGCTTGACCCAGCTGCTATTAGTAAGGAACTTCTTCAAGGGACCACAGAAACAGTGGAGGCAAATGGAACTTCCTAATGTTGATTTAAGACAGTTGATGATGGTCTGCCTTGTTTGACCTGCCATTTTGAAGCAATCAAGCAAAAGTTGTTGACACTAAGTTTTATAGTTTTCCTTCTACAGCTTTTGACAATTACCTTTGCATAGAAGGGTTAGAATGGAGCCAGTCATTGCATCTGGTGTAATTAGGGTGCTCTGACATGAATTTTGTCGTGATACTATACTTAGTAACTCTAAATGTGGGTGGAGTACTAACATGAAGCTCATGTAGCAGTTTTTAATGCTGGTGTTCTTGAATGGATCTAATGTTTACTTTCTGGGAAATCAAAAGGCCAATCAAACTATTATGTCATTCCATTTGTTGGCTCTACTATATTAAAAGCATCCACATATTGTACATGATAACTAGCACGGCTTCGTTCCATAGTTGGTAAGTCCCTGCCTGCCGTGTTGTTCTGTGCGGCCACCGACCAACACATCAGTGTGTGGGTCTTTTGTGATAGCTTATGCTCTTTTTCGAAAGGAAAGGTCCAGTTGAGGTTCCAAAGTACACCTGTTATCCTTTTCTCTTCTTTTCCTTAATTCAGAACTGTTTCTTAAAATATCAGCTAAGTTAACCTATGTTATTTTGCAGCAGAAGGCCATCAACATGATCCTCACTGAATACTGCATATGACCTTCTCAAGGCCATCAAGGTCCAAGAAATCAGTGCATTTCTGTCATGTTTTTGCTTCAGTTATGCATTTCATACCTACTCACCCTGCAAATTTCATGGATGTTTTTAGGCAATTGAACCAGCGATTGTCATTGTCATGTGGTCTGAAAACGAGCCCAGCGGGTTAGACTTTCTTTCTTTCTTTCCTTTTTTTATAGTATTTTTAGAGCTATTTTTTTGTGCAAAAAGTGTGATAGATTGAGGGATTAAAAAGGGAAACCTGCCTTTGCTATGAATGCCTGCTGCATGTTTAGGCAGTAATAGATGGGTTAAAGCCCCTAAAAGTCTCACTGCGATTACTAGGGATGAAATCGGTCAGAAACGATCGAAAATATTCATTATCATTTCCTACCATATTTTTTTCTCTCGGAAACAATTTTAACAACCAACACTCTACTACTCAATCGTATGAACATAGAAAGAATTTATGATTCCTGATTTACCACTGAAAAAGTTATAATGCCTCTTTGCCATCCCTAATGTAATTTTGTATTTCATTTTATGTCCTTCTCAGAAGCCTAAAGGGCCTCCATGTGCTTTCTATCTCTATTAGGGGCAATACCGTAAATAGCAATATATTTGCATCTTGTCTACTCTCACGTTGACTCAGTTGTTCCTCTCTCTATCCCGTGAGCATGCCTCTCTGATGCAGCATTCCAGCAGCACGCGCGCGCAGTTGATAGCAGGCTGGTAGCACGTGTGGCGGGGTAGCGGTGCAGGTCGCCCATAATATTCATCCCTAGTGATTACAGTGCTTCAGTTAATATTCATCCTCTGCCTGTAGTCCTGTACCTGCCTTTCGCCCATCACGGGCAATTAGTCCATATAAGCTTTTGATGCTGTGCTGGTGTCAGATTAAGATTCCATCTTCTTTTTGCGCATTCATGCATAATGTCAAACTTTGTTTGTGCAATAATTTTTACAAATCTTGAAGCTGATAGTAACATGTTTTTAATCTTTGTTAATGAGAACAGATGCCCAGCTTGGACGCTGGTGCTGAGAGCTGTACCGTGAGGCCCCACCAGAACAAGGACGTGGAGCGCCTCATAAACTGCTCCTCACAGTGTGGTGCGGTCCAGGGTAGGAGACTGATGTTCTCTCTGTCCTCTATTTTTCAGCAGCTGTGGAAATCTAGCCTTTAGGTAGGTTGTCTGCTTTGAGATTGCAACAGGTATTTCAGTTGTCCGTGGTTCTTTTTGGCCTTTTTTTGGGTGAGACATAGCTACATAGGAATAGCCCTTGTATCTTTGCATAGAATCAGATTCCAACTTAGTTTGGATATTGTCTGATATGCAGAAGCTATGTAAGGAGCATCTTGCCCTGCCTTTCATCAAAGGGTGATGGACCTGTTTTCTAGTTAACAGATGAGGTCTTATGAGAAAAGAGGGCAACACAGGTTGACTACACAAAGCATCGGATCCTTCTGATGAGACAAGTAGAAGCAGGTACCTCCCAATTCACCTTTAAATCCTAAACGGAAGGTATTTCACGAAATTGTATTGCAATGTATTATACCATAGATGTCAACACATATATAACACATATTGTGAACTTAAGAAAAAAACAAGAAAAATAACTTAACCAACAGTCCGATTCAGTATAGGAATATAAGGAAACATGGTCAGTATACGCATGCTTAGTCACCTCTAAATCCTAAATCATAAGCATTTCATAAAGCTCTATTATCCATATATTTCTAAAAAGTATTTCTAGCCATGATATGTTTATATTCCGAGCAGATGGACGGTTGACAGACTGATTTCAGTGACGGTAGTGTTTATAATCTGTCTAAAAGAAATATGTTGAGTACTCCCACTTGTCTTCAGCTTCAATAATCCAATATGCTGCACACAAAAATTTCTGTCATGATTCAGTCCTATATATATTTATTTTTCATTTGGAGTTCAATCTAAATTTGATTCAAACCTTTGAACGGAATTTCCGATTTTCGTAAAACTCGCTCATTTCACTAACCTTCTATAAACTTCAAACTAAAATGTTTTCTGTGAATAAAGTAGCGCTATATGTGTTGTAGATTGTGTTCCTTTTATCATTCCAAGTTTTAAAAGGAATTTTTACTGAAATTTTAAATGCAATTTCCATAGTTTGTGGATTTTGTTCATTAGGGTGACAACCAAATAAAACTGAAACCCAAAATATGATAGCTGAGTACACTGACTACAGTTGTACAAGCATAATTAATGCTATGAGTTCTGTATCTGGAGGTTCCCTCTTTTTGCTCATGACTTACTGTATACAAGGTACTTGCGTTGAAAGCTGAGGTGTATTGTACAAAGTCCCTCACGTGTTTAATTTGTTTATACCACAGGCACGGTTTCCATGCGTTTTGATTGTTATATTAGACCTCTGTACCAAAGATGCCATATGCAATGGATACTGAGGTGACAAGGGGAAAAGAAGCACGGCTAAATTAAAGTACCAGTAATTCTCAATTTTCTAAATAAAGTACTAGTAACTCTCAGATCTCTAGGGAAAAAAAGGAGGCATTGGATTACAGCATGGGGATGCTGAGTTTTGACCTTTTCTCACTGAAAACTTGAGAGAGGAGAATGGTGAAGGGCATCTAGCCATCTGCATATATACATCTGTTCCTTCTCTCATCTTGTAGGGTGGTAACAGTATCACCCAATGGCTAGAGCTGCCCTGCTCCCTGTTGCTTTGTTGTTGTGCCTTGCATTGGCCTGTCGGGCTGATGTGGCGAGGAAGACGGCTGGGGTCTATGAACTCAAGAACAAGAAGGGAGATTTCTCCATCAGGTCACCAACTGGGGAGCCACCCTCATGTCTGTTATTGAGTCCCTGATTCCAAAGGTACGGTTTCCTTGCTTCGAAATTCATGCTGCATATTGTTTCGTGATACAATGCATGATGCATGACAAGCTTCGCATGTTTCTTGCTGTGTAGTGTAAGAAACCTGGGTGATGTCGTCCTTGCGTATGACAACCCTTGCAGAGTATGTGGTAATGTGAACAAATCTCTGTTTTTACAGTTGCAGAGTCTTATGGATCTAAAAGATGCTTCTAGCTAATTGTAGCATCCAGATCTAACAAAATAATCGTGTGGCCGCCGCAATGGCAAACAAAGCGAGTTTAATGTTTTTTCTTTTGATGGACCGGGTTTCTTGTTTTGAACTGTAATCACGAACTCTACATATTCAGGACGGCTCTTCAGCCTTAATTTGGAACTGTGGTTGGACGAGTGGCCAATAGAATCGCCAACCTCAGTTTTGTACTCTGATGGAAAAACCATCCATCTGGATAAAGATGGCACGACTGTACTTCACGGTAACTTGGGAATTCATTTACGATAATGATTCTACGATGATGTCCGTCCGCAACACGTGTCTGAGCGTGGCCATGCGGCTCCCGATAAGCCATGGCGTCGAGGTTAGGGTCCATAAATGAAAATAAGATCACTAGAAGTCTATTTGTGAATATTTTTTTTAAAAGGGCTGAACAATAAAAAATTCGGGCATACATACGCGCAGACTGGGCACGGGGCATCAAGCCTTCTTCACCTAATCTGCGTAGGAGTGTGCGTGGGCCAGTACGCAGATGCCTGACCTCTTCTACAAGGAAGGTGACCGAGCGACGACCTCACCTCAGTCCACGGTCATCTGCAGTATCCTCTGCATCCGCCTACTTTAAGGGCATGTTTAGTTGGCAAAATTTTTTGGTTTTGAGTATTGTAGCACTTTCGTTTGTATTTGATAATTAGTGTCTAATTATGGACTAATTAGGTTCGAAAGTTTCGTCTCGTGATTTCTCATCTAACTGTGTAATTAGTTTTTTTTTCGTCTACATTCAGTATTTCATGCATGTACCGTAAGATTCGATGTGATGGATACTACATAAAAATTTTTAGATTTTAGGTGGAACTAAACAGGGCCTAATAATAACACTCGGGCTCCAGAACTGATCTATCCTGCCATTCTCTTCTAGCGGGCGACGGGTCTCGCTGCTGGGCGCCGGGGACGAGAACCGGCGCTTGACGGGCTGCTGCGGCGCGGGGTCGGCGACGGCGTTCTTCTGACCCAGGACGGTCCGCTTGAACGATATATCATCCATGTGAACTCAAGTCGACCGTGAGCGGCATAAATAAATTTACGTAAATGTGGTGTACTGTGCGAAAATATGATTAGTTTCGGAAAGGACGACGAGCTAGCTGGAGATTTCGGAGCCGTGCCACATGGGACAGTCCTTCATATCATATATCAGCATGTTCGGTTGGTTAGTTCGTATCGTTGCTGATTTGTTTATATAAGAGAAAAATATTGCTGACCGGTTCAGCTAAACATTACTGATGTGAGGGGGCTGACCAGCCCCAGCCAGCCTATCTAGACCGTCCTGATAATATCCCCATTCCACGCATAATCTCCTTATTATCTCATGCACTGTGTAATATGTACGGAGTACTGGTGATCTTTTTAACACGGAAAGAAAGAAAAAAATATGGTTACAGGTTTACAGCAATGGGTAAAGTAATCATGCCGGACACCAGTGTCAGTGTAGCAACTTTTTTATTCACTGACTAGCTAGCTAGCGTTCCACTATTTTTTATTTTTTTTGCAGGTAAAAAAAAAACCCAGTGTTCTTGTTTGCTTTGTCTTGGCACCATGCTGCCTTTCATTGCTACTAGTACTAGTAGCTAGGAGTAGTAGGAAATGTGGGGGCATGGATCTCACTCTGGTCGCAATTTGCACCGAGACTTGCGTCATTAACCCTTTGATCTACAATCCACATCGTCTGTGAATGAAACAGATTAATAATAACAACAACACCCAACTGCATTTGACCCTAGAAGACACGGCGAGCATCTCGATTTGTCCTGCTCCACACGGTGCAGTGGATGCATCTTTCTGTCCATCGCACTATAGCGCGCGTCCTAAATAAATAATTTGTTCAGTAAGAATTTTGGTTTTTGCTGGGACAGTTCGATACGATATATCAAAAGGGTTGAAAATCGAGTTAGTTTTATAAGAAAAAAAGATTCAGCGCCGGAGTTCGAACCCAGACCCTTGGGCTAAGTGGCGCGCGTCATAACCAGCTGAACCATAAATATCATTGTTGCATGTTCCTCGGAACAATTATACTTGTTTCATTTTAAACGCCGAGATCTATAGGGTAACACCTCGGCGCCAAGATCTACGGCGCCGAGGCCTTGTCCACGTCGGCGCCAGGTCACCGCCACGCCAAGACCTCGACGCCATTGTCCATGACGCCGAGACGTGTTTCCTCGGCGCCAAAAGCCATGGCGCCGAGGTCGGGATCCATAAACGAAAATGAAACCAGCATGAGTCTATTCGTGAATATTTTTTCAAAAAAAAACTGAAAAATAAAAAATTCGGTCATACATACGCGCAGACTGGGCACAGGGCGTCAAGCCTTCCTCACCTAATCTGCGTAGGAGTGCGCGTGGGCCAGTACGCAGATGCCTGACCTCTTCTACATGGAAGGTGACCGAGCGACGACCTCACCTCAGTCCACGGTCAATTGACCCATCTGCAGTATCCTCTGCATCCACCTGCTATAATAATAACACTCGGGCTCCAGAACTGATATATCCTGCCATTCTCTTCTAGTATTGTCGATGGTTGCCACCATGCATCGCCTAGCAGCTGCCATGCTCGTGTCGTTGCTCTGCTGCTTCTTGTTCATCGCCACGCTGAAAGCACAGCAGCAGCCCCAGCCAGCCGCTAGTGATAACACAGCTAGTCCTCCGAGCTGCATACCCCACGAGAGGGACGCCCTGCTGGCATTCAAGCACGCCGTCACCAGCGACCCTGCAGGCCTCCTCACCTCGTGGCGGCGAGATGGTGGCCACGGCGAGCAGGACTGTTGCCGATGGAGAGGCGTCCGGTGCAGCAACCGGACTGGTCACGTCCATGAGCTTCGACTTCGAAACACCAGAGAAGAAGCAGCAGCTATGGAGGGCAAGATAAGTCCTTCTTTGCTTGCTCTGGATCATCTAGAGCACCTTGACCTCAGCTGGAATGATCTAACAGGGCCAAGTGGTCGTCTTCCCGAGTTCTTGGGCTCTCTAAAGAATCTCTCCTATCTGAACCTCTCTAGCATACCATTCTACGGTGGCCTGCCTCCCCAGTTTGGCAACTTATCAAGGATGCAGTATCTAGATCTTTCCAATTCCAACTTTAGGGGAGACACAAACTCGACGGATCTCTCATGGTTAACACGCCTTTCTTCTATACAGTATCTTAACCTTGACCTAGTGAATCTCAGCACAGTAGTGGATTGGCATCATGTCATGAACATGCTTCCATCTTTGAGGGTCCTTCATCTTTCCGACTGCTCTCTTGCAAGCGCAAACCAGTCACTGCCACACCTGAATCTTACAAACCTCGAGGAGCTAGATGCTTCCTGGAACTCCTTCGACCATCCAATGGTGACCAGCTGGTTCTGGAACATAACAAGTCTCAGATACCTTTACCTCCACGCCACTAGTATGTACGGTCAATTTCCGGATGCTCTGGGCGACATGACATCCCTTCAAGTCCTTGATCTTTCATATAATTACAATAATGATGAGAAGTATCGCATCATGACCACGGATTTGAAGAATCTATGCAATTTGGAGGTCCTGAACCTTGATTGGGCTCTCTTATATGGCGACATAGCTGAGCTGTTTAGGAATAAACTACCTCGCTGTTCACCCAACAAATTGCAAGAATTGGACCTCAATTGGAACCAATTAACTGGGATGCTACCAAGATGGATAGGGCAATTAACGAGCTTGGTCATTCTGAATCTTGGTCGGAACAACATCACAGGATCCCTCCCAATATCTGTAGGGCAACTTACCGGTTTGTAGACACTTGACCTCTCTTTCAACAACCTAAATGGACATGTTCCATATGAGATTGGTATGCTCATTAATCTGACCCATCTGGACCTAAATAGTAATAAATTGGATGGCGTGATAACGGAGGAACACCTTGTTAGTGCAAGGAGCCTGAAATACATAGACTTGTCATATAATGCCCTGAAGATTGAGATTAGCTCGGATTGGCAACCACCATCTAAATTAGATCTTGTAAAATTTGCATCCTGCCAGATGGGCCCACTGTTTCCTGGGTGGCTTCAGTGGAATGTGAACATCACCTATCTTGATATCTCCAGTGCAGGTATAGCTGATAAGCTTCCACAATGGTTCTTCGATGCCTTTTCAAATGTTCGGTTCATGAACATCTCCAACAATCAACTCAACGGAACTTAGCCAACCGATATGGGCTCCACGTCACTTGAAGAGCTCTATCTCAGCTCAAACCAATTAACTGGTCATATACCCATACTGCCATCAAACATAAGTTTCTTGAACTTGTCCAACAACTTCTTGTCGGGACCTCTGCCCTCCGCTGTTGGATCCACCAATCTAAACCAGCTATCTCTGTTCTCCAACCGACTCACTGGTCATATTTCTGAATCTTTTTGTAAATATCAGCAATTATTTGTGTTGGACTTATCCAACAATTTTTTGAAGGGAGAACCACCATTGTGCCTCAAGGTAATGGATATGGGATTTGTAGCCTTAAGGAACAATAGTTTGTCGAAAAGTTCCGCCTTTTCTCGCAAAACTTGATAACTGTGTTCTTCCTAGATTTGTCTTGGAACAAATTCTCTGGAAGATTGCCAATGTGGATTGGAAGCTTAACATCATTAAGAGTTATACGATTAAGTCACAACAAGTTCTTTGGTAGCATTCCAATGAATATCACAAACCTTTCTTGCCTTCAGTACATGGATCTAAATAACAATAAGATATCGGCTCTCTACCGATCTACCTATCAAATCTTCAATTTATGACAAACACATCCATGATGGATTGTTATTCCGGCTCTTTATCATGGAATTCTCATTTTAGTAGTGTGTCTACAGTCTTCAAGGGGCAGGAATTGAACTACGGTTCCTTCTATAGGGTTTTGCAGACAAGGATGACGAGCATTGATTTATCTTCTAACAATTTAATCGGTGAAATTCCGTAAGAAATAGTTTTCCTTGACGATCTAGTGAATTTAAATCTGTCAAGGAACCACTTGAGCGGAGTTGTTCCAAACAAGATTGGGGAAATGCAGTCACTTGAATCACTAGACCTCTCGAGGAACATGCTTTCTGGGGAAATACCGGCTAGTCTTTCAAATCTAACGTTCTTAAGCTACTTGGACTTGTCATACAACAATCTTACGGGAAGAATTCCATCAGGATCGCAGCTTGATACCCTGTAGGCAGAGTATCCATCTATGTACATTGGCAACACCGGTCTCTGTGGGCATCCCCTTCAAAACAATTGCTCAAGTGAGGGTCATGCGCCAAAGCAAGGTGGCCTGGGAAGAACTGAAGAAGGTCATGGGATACAATTCTTTTATCTTGGGCTCAAAGCGGCTTCGTGGTTGGTACCTGGATGGCATTTGGTGTTCTGATGTTCAAGAGAAGCTGGAGAATCGCTTGCTTTCGACTCTCGAGACAGGCTGTGCGACAAAGTGTATGTCCTTGTTGCTGTATGGGCAAGACAAACAGTAACTGATCACCATGCATGAAGCAAAGGCAATGGCCGGTGCTTAAAATAAATTTGGCCAATGCATGCATGCATGAAACAAAGTGTATCTAGAAGTTGTGACATAATATTGCTGGTTTTCTTTTTGGAATGAAATGTAATATCCACACCCTTTGGCATAAGAGTTGTAATATCATTACCTTATGATGACATGGCCAAATTAAATAATAATAATTCGAGCTTGTGCTTATGTTGAGCACAGCTTGCCCTGTTTTGGGGTCGGATTCTGCCTCTAATTGCTTACTCGTGTTGTGGTGCCATGTTTCCATATTGGTCATCCACATCAAGAAAACTCACGTCTCCTCCATGACCATTGTTTCCATGCTCGTCGTCAACTGTTAATTGCTAAAGTGAGAAAGAGGTGACTACACATATGTTCAGTGCAGAATTAGCACAATTTACAGACACACGTAATATCCACATCCACATTAAATTTCATGGTTGATTGCTCTGATTTTACATTTGGCCGACATCTCTTCAGGATGGAGGAGATGAAGATGGGTCCCACTTCTCTTCCAGATGGACCGCTCCTGTCTGGGCCCACTCTGACTTTGATCCAGCACTTCAAAATTGGTTCCTATGTGGTGTTGCTTAGGTAGATGGATTGCACTGGTTGTTCTAGAAGAAAGATGGATTGCACTGGAACTCAGAAGTTTCTTCGCTGGCAAAACATTGTTTTAGTTCGGAGATTGTATGATTGAGCATCTCTCCTCTCCTTTACTGCCGGTTGCATACTCAAACTACACTATAAGTAACATTCGCTTACAAATATTGAACAGGTAAGGGGAGCAATTTCTAAGAAACTCAAGAGCGCAATATATGAGCACAGTTTCCATGTTCGAGTACACTGCTACAGCAGGAGTTCGACTGCCTACTTGCCTAGGGGCTGTTCGGCTGGCTGGCTGGGCAGCCCCCCACGAATCACTGTTCACGTGAACAGTGATTTCAGTCAGAATAGTTTTTTTTCTCACGACAATCAGCTGGAATAGTATTTTGACTTATTTTTCAGTCCTGCCGAACAGGCTCCTAGTGACGAACATGCAAGGTTTCTTGTATTCTAGACGAACAAAACAAACTGTCACATCGATCGTCTGTACAATCTACTGCAGAACAGTCTATGGTGGTCTCACTGATGAGACCGACGAGACTGAGTTCTCGGAGGCACAGGACCCCACTCTTTTAATCGTCTTAAGTTGTGACCGATCCTGTGCTTCAAGCGCTTGATCATCTCCTTGGTCCACTCCTCCTCCTCCACGATCTGATGATGTACCTGCTCCAACCAGTCGCTGATCTTTTCGAACTGTGAGAGAAGCGTCGGTGTGTCGCTGCTGTGCTTCCACTTGTTCTCCACATCCAGTGCCTCCTCCACAAAAGCCAGGAACCATCTTTGCATCTGCCCACACAAGTCCTTGGCAAGCTCAGCTCGTGGACAACATGAGGACCACCACCGACCCAGTACTTAGTAGCTGATAGCTCCTCGGATACCACAGACTCCGCGACGTCCTTCCACCGAAGCGTATCTTCATAGACACCGAGGAAAGGTTCAACTGATGGGAGTGGATCGGAGACCATTGCAGAATCGCAGATATCAGAGAATTCGCTGTGTAGGCAGCAGAAATGAACAAGACATTAATTATCACACCACTAATTTCTGCCGCACAAATACAATACAATACACTGGGCATTGCTTTAATTTGAATGGTTGTTCAGTGGGTTCGACTCGGATCTGGGGAAAAATAGATGTCTCTAAATATATATACCTTTCGTTCCTGAGAAGTGAATCACAGATCGATGCCTAGGTGGCTAGCTGCAAGGATTGCTTCTGTGTCTCTTATTTCAGTAGCTTCCTTCTAAATTTGGTAAGGAAATTGTATATTAGATAGAAACTCAAGTCAGGAACTCCATATGAACGGAGATTGTGAGGCCAACAACAAATTAAACTACAGCTGCCTACCTTTCTGATTTCTGATGAAATCCTTGGTCGTCTCGACGTTGCTTCCTGATAATAGCGACGACGAAGAAGTGTTTAATGAAAAGGTGCAGAATAATGTATCCTGAACAAGGACACCAATACTTTCTGTTGTGATTCATCAAAAAAAAAAAAAACTTTCTATTGTGCACATGCAAAATGGTTATCCAGCAGCCATGCTACCGAGTAAAATGGAGAGAAAATAACCACAACTATGAACCAGAAAATGACTAATAATACACGATTATGTCATGCTATATGTATGTTTGAAGTTTCAAACCAATTGTGTAATAATAAGTTAAAATCGTAGCCAGGATGTTTTATACCGGTATAAAGAAAAAATTCGGCACCTTCCAATTAATGCGGGATTTCAGAACAAATTCAAATTTAAAGAAATTCAAGTTTAAACAATTTCGGCACCACGCTTGGACCGGAGCTTTTCTCCATGTATGTAATTTGTATTTGTAGTCATAGATAGCACCAAAGTTTTAAATCTCGGGCTACAGTGGATGCTATAGCCGGATATAGTGCCGAGGCAGAGCAAATGCTAGGATAATCAACATTTAGCGCTATGAGATTTTTGGCGCTAATAGCGGGCGGTAAATTGTCTAAATGGAGAAGACTTAGCGCCGGCTAAGCAGTGAAGTATGCAAATGGGCTTAAATGAACATGGGTTTCTCAAGATCTCGTCACATTGGGGGCCCAAAACAGCCATATAGGAGGGACTCGAGTATAGATCTGCCAAAGGCCCAAAACAGCCATGCATGAAAAGCACCAGCGATTTGGGCGGCCGGCGTCGACCGGCTCGCGGACGGCAGCAATCGTCGGCGGGCTGAGCAGTGGAGGCCGCACGGTCGGGGGCCGTCCTGATCCTGGGCACGGGTTGCTAATGCAGGCCGGCGGCGACGGGCTAGCTGCTGCTGGGCGTGGATGGCGGGATCTGATGTGTGGTGTTGCCGGCGTTGGTGACGCAGACACCATGGCCGAGCAGGAGTGACAACCAAATTTGCAATTTGAGAAAGGGAAAGGTCCAATTTTCATACCAGGTGCTTGGAGGTCGCCGTTTTTGGAGTGCCCCTGACCGCCGGCGTGGCTGCTTTTCCGGCAGAGCGAGGCGCCCACGAGGCAGCTTTCACGGACGACGACGACGTAGCCCCCGGCGTGCGGATGCCTCTTACCAGCCGCGGGGCGCTTTTTCCGGCGAAGCGGGTGGGAGACCGCACCAGCCAGGCGGCGGGTATCACGGACGACGACGACGACGTCGCCCTGGTGGGCGTGCGCGTGCCCCTAACCGCCCGCGCCCTCGGCGCTGTTAGTGTTTTCCCAGCGGAGGGAGACGGAGACGTCGACCGCCGCGAGGTCGCGGCTTTCACGGACAACGAAGGCGGCGGGGACGCGAACGTGAGCCGACGGCGCTTGACTGGCGGCGCGGCGGGGTCGGCCGGACCGAGGGCGGCAACGGTCCTCTTGACGGTGGTGGTTTCCTCGTTGACGTTGGCGGCGTTGGGTGCTGAGGTGGGCTGTGGCCTGTGCGGTGGCGCGCTTCGTCGGTGGACGGTGCGGCGGAAGCAGTGGCAGCCGAGCGCGATTGTGCGAGGCGGTGCCGGTGGTGGTGGAGGTGGGACGGCGAGCGGGCGAGGAGCGCCTCCATCCATTTCCATGCAGAGGATCCCGGCTGCCCAATAATTGTTTTGTGAGAGCCGTCACCTTGCTTCCCCTCATGGCTCGTGATCATCATTCCATTGACCTCCACCTGACGGATCCCATTCTGTCTTGGGCGCATGGATGCATGAACATGATGGAAATAAAGCAGTGTTGGCATCTCCTTCCCGAATTGCCCGAACTCTGCTTCCAATAAGTGGGTGTTAATTTCCTTGAGCGCCTCTGGCAGGCGGTCTCTGAAGTCCGTGCGCACCGGCATTTCTGCTGGGGAAAGACCACGAACTTCTTCGAAGGTGTCAAACTAATTGGATTAAGATTTTACAATTTGGAATGATATAGGGTGGCGCCGTGAAGGGGTTTGCCGAGTGTGCCAGGTATGACACTCGGCAAAATTGAGATTTGCTGAGTGCCATTTATCGGGCACTCGGTAAACTGATTTGATTTTTCCATATGCCTATTCATTATTTTATTTTATTATTTTTGTGTAATATATTTTTTATTTCCTATGGTTACTGGACTGGATATTTAAAGCATCACATACATCACAAATCCATCAAGATTTATATTACAAATGTTACAATAATATATATGTCGTTACAGTAAAAATGTATATACTACTATAGAAGTTTCGTCATCTCTGGATCTATACTACTCTTATCCTTGGCTTGATCAATGCTGAAAGATACTCTTTTACTCAAGACATCGTCTATGTCCAAGGATGCTATGTCTTGTAGTTCTTTGGTGTCGAAGTCTAACAGCTTTTGGGGTTTTAAGTTTCTCACGCTATCGTTGAAGCAAGATGCCATCAACATGCACAAGTGTTAGACAAAACAGTAGTGTGTTTTATTGAATTAATCGATATACATAAAATGAGAAACATACACACCATTTTATTTTCTTTCATTGTGCTCTCGTTGAGGTACTAATGCATTGCCCACATCACGTAGAACCCACATGTGATTGTGCAAGTTTGATATCTACGAGGACGTATTGGAAACTGCACTCACAAACTTCCAATGCTAATCAGGCCTAGTTAACAAATAACCTTCAAAAAAATAAGAAGCACCTAGCTAGGCCCATATATCGGGCACTCGACAAACTTATTATTTCATGAAATACCACATCTTAACATATTGTATGTACCTACCAAATGGATCCAGAAATATATCAATTCTTATCATGGAGTACCACATGTTGTATGTGGAGAGTAGAAAAAGTTTCAAGGTCAGGAGTGAAAAAAAAACTTATTATTTCATGCAATACCACATCTTAACATGTTGTATGTATCTACCAAATGGATCTAGAAATATATCAATTCTTAACATGGAGTACCATATGTTGTATGTGGAGAGTAGAAAAAGTTTCAAGGTCAGGAGTGAAAAAAAAACTTATTATTTCATGCAGTTGTAGCTCAAATTCAATGTATATCAATTAAAATTCTATAATTGCACTTAACAAATTAAAATTATCGAATGGATCCAAAAATTTACCAAAATTACACATGGATCAATCTATGTTCTCTATTGCCTATACAAAAAGTTCTGAAGTCAAACCCTAATTCGACTGTCACTTTAAATCCAAATCTTATCAGATCATTCTCTTCGCTACGATTCTTCTTATGAGATACTTCGGATTGTAAACATCGTACGTGACAGATTGTCCGAAAACCTTTTCAATTTTTTACCATAGCCTCCACGTATGATATCATGAGATTTTGATAAATCTCATGATTTTCAGACTTCGTTTGCTTTTTTTAGAATTTAAAAACCATTTGGCCACACGTTCGTGGTCGGGTTTCGTGAACAAGATGTTCAAAAATTCTTTTCATTTCCTGGGCAAGGCCTCAAAATGGACTCAATAACATGAATATAATTTTCCACTCATTTTATTCCATTATTTGAATCACTTGCAGTTGAAATTTGACTTATACCAAAAAATTCCTCTAAACGCAATAAATTAATTAAATATATCAAACGGATTCAGAAATATACCAAATTTTAACATGTAGTAACACATGTTGTATGTGGATGGTAGAAAAAGTTTGGAGGGCAGGAGAGGAAAATAAGTTTTGTATTTGCCGAGTGTTGGGGAAAAACACTCGGCAACCTTATAATTTTGCCGAGTGCTAGATAAAAACACTCGGCAAACTGATTATTTTGCCGAGTGCTTTGGCAAAACACTCGGCAAAGTTGCATTTTTGCTAACGCCCGGCACGCCGTCAGACGGCCGTCGCACATGCCGGTCACGTGATACGATTTTGCCGAGTGTTAATTTATTGCCGAGTGTCGTATTGTAGTTTGCCGAGTGTCTTATAGTCTACACTCGGCAAATACTATTTTTTACCGAGTGTAATATGTATGCCGAGTGTCTTACGTTCTACACTCGGCAAATTATCTCTTTGCCGAGTGCCCGATTAATTTCACTCGGCAAATCAATAAACACTCGGTATATTTACTGTTTCCGGTAGTGAACTAATTGGATTAAGATTTTACAATTTGGAATGATATAGGGTGGCGCCCTGAAACGCCTTGACCAAACCTTGGCGGCAGATCGTGTCGACTTGATGATGCACGGGGCAAGCATACCAGCAGCGTCAGCACAGGGAAAAGCATGTGTCCAAGCCGGGAGAACCGAGGGGAGGAAAGAAGAGTCATGCAGCAGGCAGGCCCTTTCAAACCATGTTATGGTCGAGGTTTGTGAAGGCACGATCAAGGCGTGCAAGAATGGGGTTTGGTTGTTGATTGGTCCAGGTGAAGCGTTTTCCGACCAATGCAAGCTCACTTCTTCGAGACCAAGGTCGTGTTTTGAATGAAAGAGGATATGTCCTGAAGCTTAGATTCTTGAATGCAGATTATCGAAGGAGCAGCAGAGGTAACAGCGTCACGAACGATTGAGCACTTATCCGGGTCGCCTAAACCTCGAACATTCCAAGATAAAACAGAAAAGTTTCTTGTTGCTAAACATTTAACTGAAACAGACTCCCAGGGGCTGCAACACCGAACAAGCCCCAGACAGGTACGAACTGAAACTTAAGCACAACTACCACAAACTGACGACTGACGCCAACTAAAACCATCAAGGACCAACACTACAGATGGTACAAGATGCATGGAACAAAAGCCCGGATACAGACACAAATAACTGGCAGAACAAACACCGTCTTCACTCTTCGTCCTGCCGGAACGAAACAAAGCCTTCCCGTCATTCAGCAACATCTGTCACCACGCCAATGGAGGCCGGAGAGCGGCAGCCCAGACCTGCTGCCGACACAAGCTTGCGGAGATCAGACACTCCCACTGGCAGTTTGCTACGCGACAGGCTGTTGTTACGCTTGTTGGCTTGTTTCTTGAAGCTAGCAGAGACGGGCGACGGCGCGGGGTCGGCGACGACGGCGATGGCGTTGTTGGGGCCGAAGGCGGTCCTCTTGACGGCGGTCTCTGCCTCGTTGGCGTTGGGACTGCGAGCGGAGGCGGAGGAAGCCATGTGGGCCGTGGGCTGTGGGGGCGGCGCGCTTCGTCGGCCGGGGGAGGTGTTGCAGTGGAGGTGGACGGCGAGCGGGCGAGGAGTGGGCGACGGCTGCTGGCCTGCTTTACAATGAAGCAGGAGGGTCAGGGTGTCCTGAGATGAGAGCGCCGCCGCGGGCCGCGGCAGTTGCATTCAGGTGGTGTTTGTTACGCGAGGCGAGCGACCCTTCATTTCCTGCATGCGTACTACTATATATAATGTAATGTCAAGATCGAAGAATTTAACATGAAGTAGTTATGGAAACTCAAACGGCTCGAGGTGAAAGTCTAGACATTTTACTACAATCTGTATGTACGTACGTAACTCTCTTGCGTGTTTGAAGAAAACAAAAACAAAACTTCAGGATATCTATATCATAGTGTCACAATCTGCACAAATAAAGAATATGAAAGAGCTTAATCTACTGGATCATTCCCAGGACCTCTGTTCAATGTTAAAAACTGCATTGGACCACCCAACATTCACTGGCACGGAAGCTCCACCCAGTTCAGGATCAGCAATCATCAGTGTCCTCTCTTTGTCTGATGAATTCAACCGGTCACTACTAGAGAACAGACTTTAGAACGATGTCCCAATTTAGCATTATCCTCGGCATTTTTTGTCCCCGGGACTAAAAGACCCTTTAGTCTCGGTTGGTAATACCAACCGGGACTAAAGGTCCCTGCCCAACGGTTCTCCGCGGGGCAGGGATCTTTAGTCCCGGTTTGGGTGATGCCCCGGGAATAAAGATTAATCTTTAGTCCCGGTTTGGACCCCTAACCGAGACTAATTATCCCGACCTATAATTCAGCTCATTTCTTCCTTCCCGAGCCCGAGCCATTGCATTCAAACTCACCTCCTCGCTTCTTCACTTTTTGCTGTTGTTCTTGCTCTCTCCCCCTCCATTGGTGTTGCTCTTCGATTTTGGAGGTAAGAAACTTAATCCTCTTATGTTTTGTCAGTAGCTTATCTCATTTTACGATGTAGATGTATGTGTAACTTTATATGTTGGACTTTATTATGATTTTATGTCATTTTTAGCTCAAAATCACATGATGATTTGCATATATGTTTGGATAAACAAAAGTTAAATTAGTTCATCAAAATCACGCCTCGCTCGTCCTCATTTGAGCACGCGCCATCCTCATCCCCGGTGGCTTACGTGATCTTAGAATTAATTTTTCCATGAAATGAAAAACTTAGAAAATTGTTAGAAAATTGTAGAAAATCCGTACTAGTTGAACTTGCGGACCGTGTTCATCTCGGCGAGCATGTTCTCTCCGAAGCGGTAGCGGACGTCAAGGAGGAGCTTTGATTCTACGAGGAGAGCGACAACGGTCGTGGAAGACCGTGTTCCTTTCTCGTAGAATCGGAGCTCTTCCTTGGCCAAGCACGGTGCCGCCCCGGTGGAGAAATGCTCAGCGAGATGATCACGTAAGCAAGGTCAACTAGTACGGATGGTTATTTATTGAAACATGTGAAATCCGTACTAGTTTAGGTTAAATATATCATTTTAGAAAATATGAAATTTACACTAGTTTGCAAAAATAAGTATAGAAAGTAGATGACAATCGGTACCGGATCCTCGGCCTCTCATTCGGTTTGAACGATTGAGGCCAGAACTCCCTCTCATTATCTCAAGCAAGTGTAAGCGTAAGATTGTGATGGAGTACCGAGTCAAGAGACAGGGACCCAACAAGGGTCGTTTTCTACAAGTGCCCGGATCGCGATGTGAGTTTCGACGCATTTTTTATTTATGGCTAATTGACTGCTTTTTCTTGAATATTTTTGACTAAATATTTTTGGCTTTAATTTCAGTGGGAGGGCAATGGATGCGATGGTTGGTACTTGGGAGGAAGATTATGCTACATACGTGTAGAATTTGGGTGCGTTTGAGGTGGCGGTACTGCTGCCGATGAGTCGATGAGCCAATGAGAAGCTTATTGATATTCAACGTAAGAATGATTTGTCTGCTTTTAGTTAAATATTTATCACGAAATAATTATGTTACTGAAGTGCATTGTAGTTTTAGTTTGTTTAGTGATAGTTGGGATTGCTTACGTTGTAGCCAGGCTTAGTTAATTAATCAACCGTGTGTGTGTCATTTATGTTGTGTAATAAAATATTAAATTATGTTCAAGGTTTTCATAATTTATCGTGTAATACAGATTATGTCACGCCATTGGATGTACAATGCCGATCGCCGCTCCCAAGACTTTATTGAGGGCTTGCACTATTTCTTAGGTGTGGCCGAGGCAAATAAGCGGGATGGTTTCATGTGCTGTCCATGTGCCCTATGTAAGAATTTAAAGGAATATTCAAGCTCAATAAGTCTTCATTCACATTTGCTTAAGTCAGGTTTCATGTCAAATTATATATGTTGGACTAAGCATGGAGAAAGCGGGGTAATGATGGAAGAAGGTGAAGGAGAAGATTTAGACATTGATGACATTATTGCTCAGTATGGTGCCTTTGATGATACTACAAGTGTGTGACATAGTTTTAGAAAGTATATATGAGATTCAAGAAGTTGTGACTAGTGTTTGATAAAAATTTCTCAAATAGGAAAATAAGCTATGTAACAATTGTAGATCTTGCTGAGATGATCAAACTTGGTATTCAGAGTTTTTTCATCTGAGGTCATTTAGTGTCTCATTTGAGCAAGTTTGACCAAGTCAAATTTGGTCAAATAAAAAAACAACACTTTGACTCTAGTATTATGAACTCTAAATGACTTCAAACTAAAAAGTTTTGAATACCAAGTTTGTTAAACTCAAAAAGATCAACAATTGTTGTTTTGGTCAACTTTCCATTTGAGAAAGTTTGGACGGTTCAAATTTGTGATTTTTAAATTTTGACGCCTACAAACTAGTTTTCGGGACCCTAATTGTCTCAAATTGAAAAGTTTTGAATACCGAGTTTGTTAAGCTCATCAATATATACAATTCTTATATAGGCCATTTTTTCATTTGAGAAAGCTTGAACAAAATGTAGTTTAAATTTCACAAGTGTGTGACATAGTTTTAGAAAGTATATATGAGATTCAAGAAGTTGTGACTAGTGTTTGATAAAAATTTCTCAAATGGGAAAATAAGCTATGTAACAATTGTAGATCTTGCTGAGATGATCAAACTTGGTATTCAGAGTTTTTTCATCTGAGGTCATTTAGTGTCTCATTTGAGCAAGTTTGACCAAGTCAAATTTGGTCAAATAAAAAAACAACACTTTGACTCTAGTATTATGAACTCTAAATGACTTCAAACTAAAAAGTTTTGAATACCAAGTTTGTTAAACTCAAAAAGATCTACAATTGTTGTTTTGGTCAACTTTCCATTTAAGAAAGTTTGGACGGTTCAAATTTGTGATTTTTAAATTTCGACGCCTATAAACTAGTTTTCGGGACCCTAGATTGTCTCAAATTGAAAAGTTTTGAATACCGAGTTTGTTAAGCTCATCAATATATACAATCCTTATATAGGCCATTTTTTCATTTGAAAAAGTTATAGAATAAAAAATACTACATTTTCTCTATTTTTATAGGTTCAACAAAAAATTCATGTCAATTTTGGTCAAAAACCGAGAAAAAATTGAAACATTTGACGTTACAATAATGTGATAATAAATTTCCTATCGAATAATATTAGTTTTATTAATTTTAAGTTACAAATATATTTTTGCATTAACAAAATACTTAGTATTAGTAACATTTATATTCTATATTCATAAAAGAAATTAAAAACTTTAGGTTACAAAATTTTCCTATTTACAATAAATAATTAGTTAATCAATAGTATTTTTTAAAATAAATATTGCAAAGTATTGAAGTTGCTATGGAATTAATTGATTAACCTAGTATTAAACAAAATCAAAATCCCAGAACTTTTCAATTACGCGTGCTTGGAGTTGGCAAAATTTTAGGGGCTTCAATTCCGCACTCAAGAACCAGACTAAAGGGTGGGCGGCAAATTCGGTGCCCATAAAAAATACCTTTTAGTCCCTACCGTAAGACCAACCGACTAAAGTCTCTTTAGTCCCGGTTGGTTTTACCAAATGGACTAAATGTCCTTTAGTCCCGGCTAATGTTACCGGCTGGTGTTACCAGCCGGGACTAAAGGGTCGCGGGCTATATATATCGAACGTCTGCTCGTGTTCATCTTCGATCTCGCCTCCGTCGCTCAGCCCTTTTGTCGCCATCATCCATCCGTCGTCGAGCTCGTCTCTGCCACGCCACGCCATGGCGTCTACCCCGCTTCGCCGGCCCATTCTCCAGAGCCCGCATCCTGCCTCCGCCCAAGACCTGATTCCACCTCTCCGTCACCGACGCTTCCAGCACATGCTTGACGCCAGACGGCCTCCGCTCGAACTCGATATGATCTGCTTTGCTCTCGATCGGCCATGTTTTTTAGATTTTTTTACAAAGTCTCGGTTTGTATGTTAGATTAAAATAAGTACATGTAGTTTATTGTTAGTTTTTAGTTATTTTAGATAGTTTTTGATATATTAGATTTAAATGTATTAAAATTTAATTAGTATTTTATTTAGATAGTTTTTAGATAGTTTTTTATTATAGTTTTTGATATATGTAAAATGTATTATCTATTACTAGTTTATCTAATTTCATGTTAGATTTATTTAATTGGATTTAGTAATTATATATTCTATCTCTCTATATATATTATATATCTAGAGAGAGATTCTATATGTATACATATATACTTAATTATTTCTATATGTATATATACATGTACTTATTTTCATGTGTTGAGAGAGAGAGAAAATTGTATCTAGAGAGACATTCTATGTGTATCACATGCATATCTAGAGATATAGACATATGCACTTATTTCTATGTGTTGAGAGAGAGAGAAAATATATTGTATCATTCTATGTGTATATATATACATGTACTTATTTCCATGTTGATGAAATATTATGTGTTATTATATTTAATTGGATTTAGTAATTCTATATGTGTTATC